ATATCCAGAGCCCCACCACGGAAGGAATTGGAAATGCCAGGGGGGCGGCGGGGTCAGAGGCCCAGGAAATTCCAGAGGGGAGTGGGGTTGGACAATTAAATCACTGTCCATGGGGTTAACATCAATTCATTTTGGACCTTAATTTGAACATTGCCTCTTACTGACTGGTAGATCATTCGCAATACAAATAACTTTAACTAAATCATTGCACCGTCACGGAATTTAAAGATTTGTTTTTAGGGAGGAATTCAGGCCGCAGAAGAAATGAGAACATCGGCATTCTTCCAAGACCAGAAACGAATTTTATCAGAAACTCCATACGCTTTACAGGAGCAATCGCATGGAACAATTTAACGAACAAGGAAACAAGGGCTAAAACCTTGAAAGAATTTAGACGCTGTCTTGCAAAATTTGATACTGATAAAATAAATTTCGAACCTATTTTAGCTACAACTAAAAATAGAGATATCGGCTATGAATACTTTTAACAGTTTTAATTTTCAATTGTACATTTGCACAACCTATTTTAGCTACAACTAAAAACTGAAATATCGGTTACAAACATTTTTAACATTTCTTAAGTTTCAATTGTACATTTGCTTTCAGTACTCCTTATTTTTCTTGTAATTGTTGTATACACGACCCCACCAGCAATGCTGATCTTTTTATCGTGCCGAAATAAAGTTCTTATCTTATCTTATCTAGAATTGTGAGTCTACATGATAAGTTCCTCTTCTTCGGCATGTGCATTCGAAATGCAGGAGGCTTACATAAATAGCTGCTGCAAATGATGCTAGAATATGAAGAAGGATTGAAATACAGGAAAAGTTCTTTTCGCAATATTTCTGGTACATCTTTGAAAGGCTTGCATATGGGGACTACTAACTTGCTCAAAGAACCAAGCTTAGCACTTAAAACAAGAGACTACCATTTATTTAGTGGGGCGTGCCTACACACTGTACCTTCTCAGCCCAGCTTTGTAATCTGTCTGTAAGATTTGTTTGTTCGTTTTTTTAATTCAACATCAAAAGGAAACTTAAGGCTCCTTGATAAGTTTCTTGTTTGGATTAATTTTCCTTGTTGGAGACTTGTTTTGGAGGGATGCCTCAGATTTCCTAAAATTCCAAGCAGGTCCACACCATTCCAGTCAATTCTTTCAAGCGGGGGGTCATGTAGACCATCTGAGGGGTTATATTTAACTTAATACTTATATGTCATCTGTGAGGTCAGGAAGCCTTCTTTGTCGGGTCATTGACCCAAGATTATCTGAAACACTGAGTTCCATGAAGGTGTAACAGTGGTGACTTGTAGCGCAGAGAGAAAGAAACAAGGGAAGACAGTAGAATATCAGTAAGGCAGCAGGTCCAAAGAAATAAGGGTATGTGTTACATGTCCGTATAGTTTGTGATGTTTCTGTTTTTACATTTTCTTTAAATTGATTACAGTTCTGCAGTAGAAACAGAAGAAGTGAACAGGCCCAAAGGCAATTTATCTGGACTGAACTCAGTTTCCCTATTTTTATTTGTCGTTCGTTAAGCCTGAAAAAAAAAGAGCCAAGTATGGAAAGACTGTGAGGCAACGTGGACAGTTCCTACATTTTTTTAAAATTTCATATGATGACAGAGAATATGAACAACAAGACATTCAGTCTTCAGAGAACCAGAACATTACCTTCCTAACTCTGAGGAGTCAAAATGGTGTTGAATCATAAAGTGCAACTTTAAGTTACAAGAGATTGAAACAAACAGTATAATAAATTTTTACTAACAGGAGTCTATGAAGCTATTTCTCTCGCACTAACAAGTTATTGTTTTTAATCACACAATTTTTTTTTGCTTCAGTATGTATCATCGTGAACTTCATTGACCTAAGTTTAAACAGATCTGGCAAGAGCTATTACGAATTAATAAATGTGTGCAACATTTCTCTAAGGCATTAACGTCTACTTTTGTGCTAGTGTGAGTTGGACACTTTCATGGCTTTTTAATTGTGCCTTCATGGGAATTTCATTGGCCATTAGAACTTTCATCACCCATGAAATACATGCCAGGCTGTAATTGCCTTTTCAGGGGTCATGAAATGTATCACTATAAAACATATGAGACTTTCATGACCCATGAAAATCCGTATTCATGGCTTTGTTTACTTTTCATGGTTCATGAAAATAACTGTTAAAAATTTCATGACTTAATTTAGCACCATGAAATCCGAAATCGCTGTTTTCATGGCCTTGAAAAAAAGTTCATGGGTTTTTCAACACATTTTCACAGGATTTTCATGAAAAAGAGATTCGTAGTGTCTGTTTTAAAATCTGTTCAGGAGCTAATAATCAGTGGCTAACTTTGTACAGCTGTAATTGTACCCTTTCAGTGAATACTTACGCCAACAGGCAAAACACAGTACAGTGGAACCCCGCTCTACGCACACCAGTTTATAACAGACCCGTTCTGTTTGTCACGACAGAAAGCTCATATCATTTTTTCCCTGGAATTAACCTGCTTAATACGGACACCAGTTTATATGGACAACAGACACCTCTTTGTGTCCCAAGTCACAAACTTTTATAAATCATCAGCCCTGCTTTATAGACACTGGTTAACTGCACACAGTCTATTCTCTTTGTCACAATCATGTGCTAATACCCAAATATATGTGTTTTGAGAATTTTTTAAAAATTAAAAATGTGATTATAATACATGCACATCTATGTATCAAGTAGATGTCAAGTTTTTTTTACCACATAATTAGTCCAAACAGCAACATAAAATTATTGCCCCTGCAGGGATTTCGCCCAGAAGGCGAAATCCTGAGGAGGCACTCTAGTAACTTCCGCGTGTATTAAGGAAAGTACTTACAGTTGAAATATACAGTCATACAGTCAATATAGAAAAAATCTTGATTTGCTTGAACAGGGGCCACGAGGAATCGGTAGATAATGATGATGTTTCTACTGTTTGTGCCCACAAGTACGAAATTGTTAGGATGACATAAAAACAGAAAATCCCGAAGGGACCGCCTAGGTAGATGTTGTGACATTTATTGTGCAGTCATATTTCAATACTCTTTTGCATTACGTGTCATCAGTGACATTCTGTGGAGCAGTTGTTTTGAAAGTTATGGATCAAAAGACACTCGTAAAGCACAGATGAAGTTATAAGGTGCGTATAACTGTGTATATATAAACACTTGGAGAGTTTGCCAGACACGAGTTCACTTGTCACAAATCTCTGATTGGAGACCTTGCCAGACACTCTTTCTCTCTCTTTGACTGGAATAAGACCCAGCCCCAAACAAGCAAGACGAGTGAACATCGGCTAGCTTATAGCTAGCAGAACGATGGATGATTACAGAAATTCGCCAACAATCAAATTCTGTGCTGACTTATTCGTCCTTATTCCCTGCTCACAGATGTCCTTCAGCAATAAAGTTTAAAAGAAGACTATAGAATGTGCGAGCATGAATTGATCAAACGCCCTTTTAATTTCTAAGGCTTACTTTCCGGCAAATAAAATGAACTGCATGTAAAAAGTGAAAGAGAAATAGCAAAAAATTCAACTTCTAATTAAATCTTTTCTTATGGTTTAGAATAAACTCATGATTCTCGAAACTGAGAATGTTTTGATCAAAGCTGTGTAAATTGAGCTGAAACTGTGCATGGAACCTTGCGTTTCCTGTATTTATCTCACCTGTTGTATGGAATATGTGTGAAAATCTTCATTATGAATCGGTATAATTATTTCAAAGAGGTACACAGCAACCAAGAATACTATTGACCTAAATTATACAGAGCAGGGGCAGCTGTAGTGTCAACTATTACTAGTTATATCAAAGCCAGTTAAGAATATTAACCCAGTGTCACACAAGCTGTATTTTGAAACTGAGTGAGGGGAACAAAGAGCGTGAAAACTGCAAAAGAATTCATGACTAAAATCTTTGACAACTTAATACAAAAATGGCATTATTTCCATGTTTGTTTGCTTTGAGTCACTTTTCAAGAGTATAAAATCAGCTCCTTGTGTCAACAGCACCACAGTGACACATGAAAGTACAAAATTGATGTTTCAACGTTCAGCCTCAATGCAAGTGGTCAAACATGGGCTTGAAACATGTCACTTTATCTTGCTACTGTTTTCCAGTGATCAAATTGTGTTAACTCATTGAAATCTGTCATCATTTTAACTGAGTACAGGTTTGTCGTGTACAGTGTCTACTACAATAAGGTTGGGTTTTTGGTACCAAATGCATATCAGCTTCAGGAAAAAATATTTCCCTAAAATGGTATTGTTTAGATTGATGCCATTTTGAAGCAAAACATTACATTATATGGTAATCGACAAGGGGACCACCCATGCATGACTACCACCTTAAAAATACATGTACAAAAAATATAGTAATGCATCTTTCAATGTCAAGCCTGAGGGTGGAGGGTCGGGCTAACCATGGGAATTTGACTTTGAGGTCTGTCCCCAGGGTAGGGATTTTGATCATACGTGATGTTCCCGGGGTGGGGAATTTTGAATGTCGCCACCTTGATCTCCTGATTAGAGAGTGGAGAGAGAGGAGAGGACCTGGAAATGAACTATCTTGGAAAATACCCAGAAGGCATTTGATTGAATTTCCCGCCTTCATGTCAGAGCAATGGCTGAACCAAAGGTGAGTGGTACATGGATTTGGTTGCTTCTAAAGAAACAATGTCATTTTTAACGCCTGTCAGTTATCTATCTTTGAAGGTTTATAACACAATGTTTTTCCAGTTCATAATTTATAAAAGTTTGCTTCCTGCCTGGCATCATTTCAATAGATGCTCTGCCTTGAGTTTGTGACATAAAAAACAGAAGATTTGTGTATTTTTGAATGTAGAATGGTTTGTTCCAGGTTCTTGTCAAATATGGTGAAAGCTCGAAAGTTATCCCATGGTAAGTATATTAAACTTAAAACCTAAGAGTTGGTTAAAAAGCTAGTTTTCTTTCCTAAAAAGGGCCTGAAAAAGAAAAGAAATAAACCACACACTTTTTGCTGTTATGTGATTTTGTTGACTCTGTTGTAATTTAATTTCTGCACTATACTCCTCTTGTGTGCAGCAAGGTCTGAAGGGTATTTGATCACCTTTACTTGCCCCAGGATGGGTGATTTTGATAACTGATCAATTATGTTGTCCCTGGGGTGGGGAATTTGACTCATTTTTTTCAGAAAATGTCAAATTCCCCACTACTTGCCCGACCCTGAGCCCCCCTCAGGCTTGACATTGATAGGTGCATAACTTGGATATATGTCATCTGCATGAAACAGACCTTATACACGATACCTGCCATCTTTTCACATGGGATAAAAGCAGTGTCACGATCGAGGTATTTCACGGGGCAAACAAGTGATAAAATTTGCCAATACAAGTAATTGCGGATGAGTTTGTTTATTCTTACTATCAAAATGAGAAGACCGTTTGATGGTCATGCAAAATGTACAGTTCAAGTTTTGACAGAATTTATGCCATTATTGTTTGCTACACAAAAAAGGACATCTACACTGTATGGTGGCTACTGCATCCAGAAAAGTGACAACAATCAATTCCACCCACAATTTGCCATTATCATCATTAAGATGAAAAGTTCTTCATTTTCTGTTGTCTAGAATGAACAAACTCAACTGCGATTTGTTACATTGGAAAATTTTTTTGCATGTTTCCCCCCTGAGAAACCACGTGACGTTGCTTTTACACCATCAATAATGGCGGGTATGGTGAATAAGAGTTATTGTTCTTGGTCATGGAGGCAGAATTAAATAATATTTCACAACTAAATCACAGAGAAGAGACATGAAAAAGGTAGTAATACCTGTTAAAGGATTCCAACAAGCATTTACGGCAACAGCGATGGCCGCATCCCTTGGTCTGAACAGGGTTGTTCATAGCCATAAGGCATACAGGACATTTATAATCTTCATTTAAATCTTCCAGGAACTCGAAATCATGACCGCAAGTCTCCTCATCATCTGATAAAGATGATGCTGGTGATGATGGTAGTGAAGCCAGTGGTGATGATTGTGGTGATGATGCTGGTGATGATGCCAGTGATGGCACTGGTGATGACGGTGATAATGATAACCTTGACATGACCAGAAGATAGAGACACACACTATACTTTAATCCAGGACTTCAATCAGCTGTTTACCTGTGAATATATGATGAAAAATGTCTTAACTGTCACATCTTTACCTTCCAAATTGACTGCAATCTAAGGCCCAGTAACTTTACTGAGAGGTTTAAGGAGTACTATTCTCGACCTGACTTGGCACCACTCATTCTTATCCCAGAGCTTTGATCCTTTTGGTCAGCATCGGGGATCAAGAGCTCTGGCTGGTTCCAATTCACAGACTTCCGGTTCAACTGCGCAATGGCAAGGGAAAAAAAGGCAAAAATAGCCACTTGAAGGAGTGGATGTGGTTTCAGTCTTTGTAATGTTGTTTAGGGCGTTGCGAGAGGTTAATTCATAATATCTTGCCAGGACAAGATGCCAAGTTTTATTTGGAATGCGGAGATTGGACAGTGGCTTTTTTTTCAAGATCCGTCAGTTTCGATGGACCATTCTTTACGCTGAAGTCTGGAAGTGTCACAGAGTGTAATCTGTAAGGCAGGCGTAAAAAGGGTAGAGGGTGGGGGATATGTAACACTAATTCCCTCTCTCTCTAGGCCTGCTATGCAGGTGACAGAGAGTAATAAAGGGGTTAGCTGTGTTGTTATGTTACAAGGACCAGTTAAAGGAGAAGTCAGATGAGAGAATAAACAGTTGAGTTAAACACAACGTAGTAAATGTATTTAACAAGCTTGATAAATACAATATAACGGGTAAAACTCATTATAATTTGTGACAAGGTAACATACAGTATGACAGAGAAAAAGGGACTAAGGGACAACTAATTTTGGTGTGGCAACAGGAACTTAACATGATCATAAGACAATATTTAAGTATTTCTTGATCTAATTCTGAAAACAAGGTTTTATAACAGAACTAGTTGAACAAGAAATCTGACACACCTCTGCCTGTCGCTACAGATGAAATACATCTGGCAGCATAAGTAATGGGACCTGGGTTAGATTCGACATCTCCAGACAATAAAAGAGTTTTTCCTGATTCGTTATATAAAACCGCTCTTAATTTCTTAACCTTTGTAAAAAAAACTGCAGTAAAAAAAGTTGTCTTTGAAAATACCTGAAATGCCGTTGTTTATAATAACCAATGCTACGCAAAACTGTTGAGATGGGAAATGACTGAGAGCCATTTTTTGTATTTTTTTCTACATTTTAATGAACCTATAAGTTTTGCCATTGTTATTCTTGATGGTCTCTATCTCTGGGTCTGGGAGTCATCAATCGTGAAAGCTGTTGAGAATGCCTGTATTGTAGAGGAAAGTCAGGTTTCCTGTACTCATAAGAAACATCTACTTCACCAGTATAAGATGTATTAGCTTATTGCGTAAATTAAAATCAATAATCTTAACTGCATTTTTAACCTCTTGTGAACCAAAAACAGTTTTGTATACCAGTAATTCTCTTTTAAAAAACAATGAACCAAAGACATTTGTTCCAAACTACAAAAAAGCTTGGGCTTAGAAGCTGTCAGATCATTGCTCAACACCCAAAACGGAGCTAACCACGGGCGGCCCAGACGTAGTGTGGACAAAACATGGACAAAATGGGATGAGTCGTCAAATCTGCCATCTGACACCCTAACAAGCCACTACATTTAAAAACCCTATTATCGAACTAAAATAGCCCAAAAGTAAAAAAAAATCAAAGCTAACATTCCTTTAACACGTCTCTTTGTCAGTCCTGGCTGGTTAAAGTGGATTTTGTTGAGTTTTTGTAGCCAGCCTTTACTTCTTCTTTAGTGGATAGTACCTATGAGTGTAAAACTCGACAAAATGCCACTTTAACCAGCCAGAACTGACAAAGAGACGTCCAGTTAAACGTAAGTTAGCTTTGTTTTGTTATATTTTGACTTCTGGGCTATTTTAGTTCGATAATAGGGTTTTTAAATGTAGCGGCTCGTAAGAGTGTCAGATGGTATTAGATTCAACGACTCATCCCAGTTTGTCCATGTTATTGACACACACTACGTATGTTTGGGTTGCTTGTGAGCTGACAGTTGTGCGCCGAGAAACGACTTCATTGCTTCCCAAGAGGGAATTACTTGTGTCTCGAAAGACAAGTTCTGTTTCCACAAGGGAGATAATTGTGTCCTTAAGGACATTATTTGTTTCCAAAAGCCAGGGAATAATTTCTGTCTTGATCGAAAGAGAAGTCTCATTGAAATATGCTGGACGCGAAGGCAGCTATAGAAGGTGCTTCTGAGCTGCACGAGTCGCTTGACCACGATAGCCAAACAAACACTGTAATTCAGGGATGGCTATTTTGTTTAAAATACAGTTGACTCCTGATAACTTGAACCCTCGCTAACTCGAACCTCGCGCTAACTCGAACCAAAATCGATTTCCCCTGGATTTCCGCCATACATTCACTATAATTTTACCCTCGGTAACTCGAACCCTCGATAACTCGAACTCCCGCTAACTCGAACCAATTTCCGTTTCCCCTCAGGTCATTTTCTACATAATTTTACTCTCGATAACTCGAAAAAAGCCGTCTACTGGTGTCCGAAACATTGAATTTTGGATTTCCTATTGACGTGTTGTAGGAGTATAGTTTACTAGTGGAGGCTGATGTTGATTGTCACAGGCTAACGTGAAGCAGCTTTTCTTCTCAAAACGGTAAAACGAATGCTTTATTTAGGCTATGTTTTGTTACGTTACGTTCTGATTTATAATCTAGAAGTATCTTTTAATTTTCACTTGACATTTCTACAATTAAATGTGATTAAAATGTTCACTGTGCATTAAAAACTGTCTTTTACCTTAATCTAGGCTATTTTCTTCGAACTCGCGATAACTCGAACTCCCGATAACTCGAACCTTTTTTCGATTTCCCTTGAAGGTTCGAGTTATCGGGAGTTGACTGTATCGCATATTGGCCGCCATATTGAAATATCGCAGAAAGCACCAAAAAAAACTAGAAAAACTTTTAGGAGAAAACAACAGACACACTGGTCAAGAGACAAGTCTCGATGCCAGTGAAAAACAGCACAAACTTATTGCAAATAGTGATCACTTACCAGAAATCAGCGTCGAAAAAGCACATAGCAACCGAGAAACGTACAAATCGAGCGAAGATGATCGAAAAGTATAGCCTCCCACGCGTTCCTCTCGGAAAGAACTAGATACCGTAAAATTCCGAAAATAAGCCCCGGTGTCACAGTGATATGTGTATCCCCGTGATATGTGTATCCCCGTACACATATCTCTAGTGATATGTGTATCCCTCCAATATGGCTGCCAGTGAAATGTGTATCCCCTACCCCCCACCCCTCCAAACAAGTGTCGGTTTTATTTCTGTTGTTTTTGTGAATTTTGCGAATCATCGTCCAAGGGACTACAAATGATTCAAGATTACGAGCAACACAATCGACAAAAGAGCAACGATTCGAGACAAAATAATCGCAAGGCTGTCTCTGGCGAGTTTACTTCTTCGTGGGCCGCAATGTTGATGTAAACAGTCGTTCTCGCTCCTCTCCTTATGCATCAGTCAATTCCACCTGCGCCCAGGCCCCCCCGGGCTGACCCCCGGGAATTAGCATCATTTTTTGCCTTGGATGGCAAATTCCCGGGGGTGGGGACTCTTGAGCTGGCAAATCCCCCGGGGTGGGGAAGAAAAAAGAGGGCAAATGCCCCGTCCTCCGTCAACAGTGCAACATTTTTTATTGATCGCACAGTCCAATAGTGCCATTTTAAAGTGCGATTTTTTGTTTCAATTAACGTCTTAATTCCTTTGTAATAGCGCTAGGATTCTAATTAAGACTTCACGCCGCGACGACATGCACCATTTTATGGTTTTAGTATTGATATAAAATTATTGACATTAACATTAATAGAGCGCTGTAAAGTTATATGT